ATCTTAACTTTGTTATTGGTAAAGTCTGCTAATTCTAGAGAAGGAATTAGCTATGTCTTCTTTACCATTAAATAAAAATTTGCACATTATTGATAATTTCTTCTTTTTCATAATAGGTAAATGCAGAGATTTACAATCACTGACTCTAATTTTGTAATCAGAATTCCAAATCTAATAAATAAATATAGGATTGAAAGTAATGAATGGTATGCAGCTTCTTCAAAAGAACTTTATTTTTAGTTATTTTTATTGGATATATTTATTTCTATGAATTGAAAGAAGGTGCTACTGACTTATAACTTTACACCATTCAGTTGAAGAATGTTGATAATCATATTATTTATCAGTTTTTTTTGTTTTTTACATTATAATAATGCCACCAACTCGCCTGTTTTGTACTCAAGATTCAAATCCTGATACTTATATTATTCGATTTATATCTAGATAAGATACTATGTGCTGGATTAATTGATATATCAAGAGATCAGACATTAGCTGCAGGTAAAAATTTATATCAATTAAAATATAGTTTAATTGAAAATTTACATTATTAATTATTTTGGGCCATGTAATTGATATTGATAGGACTTTGATTTCTAATGAAACTATTGAATGTTTACATACTTGGCCATCAGATGATGACATTAAAGAAGCGATTCGAATTGGATATGATGAAGCAAAAGCATTGGCAAATTATCTTGAGATTAATAATTGTACTTCAAATTCAATTCAGCAGCAGATTTCTTACAATGAAACTTCTTTAGATAATAATACAAATGCTTCAGAAATAATTGATAATGAAGATGATCAAGATCAAAATTTGGGTATGAAAATAATTTGTTATCCTAAATCTTTATTAAATTTTACTAAAATTGCTAATATTTATATTAGAATAAGTTGAAATACAAATAAATTCTGAAAATATAGGGACTGCTGCATTTGAAGTTTTCTGCCTCTTGTTGGATGAATCTGATAATTATAAAGAAATTACAGAGGAGAATAAAATGACAAATTCAATTTTCTGATTTACAATATATTCTTAATCAGAAACCAATTCCTCAAAGAAATTTGACATTCTTCACACCTGAAGGATTTCTATGTTCTGAAATCTTGTGCTTTCTCATGACATTCAAAAAGAATTTCTAACAATCACCAGTTAATTACTGAATTTACAATTAATTCTAGAAAATCGTGTAAATAAACGAAAAGATCATTGGGAAGGATGTAAAAGACTTACAGCTATTCCAATAACTGCTGGAATTAAAGGTATATTTAATAGTATTGTAAGGGAATTGCTAACCGTCATGGTTTTTTTTTTCAAATATGTCACATGATGTACAATATATTGTAAATCGGCTGATGGCTGATTTTTTAACTTTTGATCGGTTATTTAAAAAAAATTTTTTGCAAACATATTTATTCAAAATAATAATCTTATTTAATGAAATTTTATTTTTATTTTTTTATTTGCAAATATTAAAATTTAAGTCACCCATTTACGATTTTAAAGAAAAAAATCACCGGATTTATTTTTAATGAAGTGATACAAATAAAAAAAACAATAAATAAAAAGATAAGTAAATTACAATGATCAAGAAGAAAGATGCTAATAAAAAGAATGAAACAATGGAGTAATGGAAAGTAATAGAAGACAAAAAAGAGTAATGAGAAGTAATAGGAAACAAAAAGGAGAAATAGGACATGATAAGAGATGAAAAGGAGTGATGGGAAGATGAAGAGGAGTGATGGAAGATGATAAGGAGTGATGAGAGACAAAAGGGAGACGAAGAGGAGCGATGGAAGGCAAAAAGGGGTGATGGGAGACGAAAAGAAGTGATAGGAAGATGAAGAGGAGTGATGGAAGACGAAAGAAGTGATGGGAGACGAAAATGAGTGATTGGAGACGAAAAGAAGTGATGGGAAAATGAAGAGGAATGATGGAAAGATGAAGAGGAGTGATGGGAGACGATAAGGAGTGATGAGAGACGAAAAGAAGTGAAAAGAAGTGATGGAAGACGAAAAGGAGCGATGGGAGACGATAAGAAGTGATGGGAAGACGAAGAGGAGTTGATGGGAGACGAAGAGGAGTGATGAGAGAGGCAAAAGGAAATGATGGGAAGTAAACAGGAGAGAAAAAGAGAAAAATGATCATGATAGGAGGTTGGGAAACCAAGTAAAAAAAATAAAACCATAAAGTAAAAAAAATTGGTTAGTAAGGAACGAAATATAAGATAGAAACGAAATAAAAAAAATAAAAAATAAAATAAAAAAACATACCTTTATTAATTGTAGAACCGAAAGAACTAACTATCTAAAAAAAAATGAAATAAAATTATTGAAACTGAAATATGAAACAGAAACAAAATTGAGACGAAACGTAAAGTGAAAACCAACTGAACATTAATTGCAGAACCGGAAGGACTAAAGGACCTAAAAATAATGAAATAAAAAATACCTTGAGACCGAAAAGATCGAGGAAACGAACCTATACTGAAAATGACATGACGCGCTCATGTGCCAATCAAAAGTAAATCTGTCACGTGATCGAAGTCCCAGAGAGCAATTCCCGTATTGTAAACTGTTATTTTAAATTTTGTCTTTTTAAATTAACAAAATTTTTTAGTATATAATATTATAGATGCAAATGTATCTAATGTTCATCCTTTGATCCCAAATGGATATTTTTAAATCATTTATTCCGACAAAAAACTTTGCATTGCTCAAATTATTTCGACGTATGAATAGCGAGGTGAAACGACATGAACAAAGATGTCGAATTCCTAGATCACTTATCTTTCGGTTAAAATTTATTTGAATTTTTACAATAATCTTTAAATAAGTACATGTGAAGCAGAAATTAGTTGGTCACATCCCAGCAAAAGAAGTTTCTCAAAATTCCTTTTTTACTTTAACAACAGAAGCTACAGAAATTTAAAGGCACCTGAAATGGTGTTATATCTTACAAAGATTTTTCCTTAATAATAAATATTGTACAATATTAACCTAGTTTTTTTGAAATAATTTTGTTTTTTACACTAATAAATCATTTTATGTTGGTAATAAAATCATGTGGTTCGCGATCATATGATTTTTCTGAATTTTGGCGGTAACCCCTATTAGAAGTTGGACCTTATGTTATTGGAACAGTAACTGAAGTTTCTATCAAGAACTCATCGTAGTTATCAAGCATCTTCCAATTTTTACAGAAATTGATCATACTTTACCAATTTCATTATTATCTGGAAATTCGAATTGGTATCTTCTGCCCCGTTAGGAAGAAATTCATAAGGAAAAATAATTTATCTAAGCAATATAGCAATACGGGAGGATTTTTTAGTATTAATTCACAGAATATATGTTATATATTGGAAATTGATTATTGGCAAAACTACGTAATACCATTTCTTAAATCGCAATCACCCGAAGATATAGATATAGTGATTGACAGGAATTTTGATCGGTTATTAAAATGCGCAAATTAACCAAATTAACCATCAAGCCAGATATTTTTAATTAGAAAAAATAATAATATAGCACGATATTTTTATTTACAAGATTAAGATTCCATTTAATGTCTCAACTGTGCAACAGTTTGAGTTTATAAAAGAGCGTCCTTATCCTAGACCCTCAGTTCAGGATTCTTATCCTAGACCCCCTTAAATATGATTGGTTTAATCAGCCACCGAAATCTTGCATAACATTTATCTTAGAAAATTTTTCACGATGTACTGTAACAATCGTCTTAGAAAAATTTCATAAATATTTTCTTATAATATATATTAATACGCGCATAACATTTTTATCTTAGAAAATACGCTAATACGCTCGTAACATTTATAGAAAATTTTCAAGATTTTTAAATTAATTTTTTTATTATAGAAATATTTCACAATGTGATACGAAGTATGAGCATTTTTCTTGGAATATTTTATGACAAAAAAATAAACTAAACCAAATATTAGAAATATTTATCAAATATTTGAATTCAAACAATTTTATAATTAATTTAATCAAAGTGCTAAAATTATACCATTAAAATCACAAAATTTAGTTGAAAGAAGTTTCAAACAATACATAATAATTTAATCCAAAACTCAAAGAAACAACACTTTATTTAAAATTTTTGATAAAGATTTTTTTGTTGTTCTAATATACACTATTATGAAAATAATGGTAATAAAAAAATATTTAATATAAAAAAAAGAAAAATAATTTGTGTAAAAAAAAAAAATAATATAAAAGAAAGAGAGTGAGCGTAGCGTTTATTACTTTATTTATAAACAAATGTGATCAGCTGCGCCACAAGGTCTAAGATAAGGAGATCTGACCTCCCAGGTCTAGAATAAGAAGCCTAAACCCCCCGGTATAGGTTAAGTTTTCTCTTTATAAAACTTCAATTTTTTATAACATAAATAAATGTAATCAACAAATCTATCATAGCAAATACCATAGCCAATATTTGTACAACCCCCCATCTCCAAATTTCAGAAATCGGACTTTTCTGTACTGATAGTTCAGTTGAAGCTATTGTAAGTACTGCTATTGGAAATGCCACAATTGAATAAAATATAAAAATACGATAACGATTTTTGCTAATGATTCCTTCATTTCCTTTAAATTGTATTAAATTAAGAAATTGCGATGCATTATCAGCATATTTAAGCCATGAAGACATTTTCGAGCAGGATAATAAAAATAAAAAAATGAATAAATATACTAATGCAATAAAGTGTCCTTCTATTGCAAGGATTCGAAAAGTGTCAGCTGGATCAACTGGGGCAGTAAAAAAAAAAAATTTCACTTTGTCTCCGCATTCTTCTTTGGGCAATCTCCATTTAAGCACTATCCATAACCACATGTTATAACATGCTCCCATTAAATAAACTATCAAGTACAATACATGAATAACTTTAGAACTATCTAAACTAAATGGAATAAGTGGAAACATCAATGGTGCCAACGTCAATAACGTTACAAATTGAGATACTTCTAATAATAATACATAATTTGCGTGACTGGCTAAAGCAGCTACTACCAAACAGAAGGATGTTAATGCCCCGAGATTTGCTGATGTAGCCTTATGTTCTTTCGTAAATATTTTAATAAATCCTAGTATGCTCTGAATGTAGACTGCAATTCTTATTCCTGGTCCTACCAAATAAGAATTATTTATAATGGTACACCCTTCCATTGGGAATAATAAATGAAAAAAAGAAAATAATAATATATGTGAAGAAACTTATATTTGCTTTTAAAAGGAGTTTAAGAAGATATTTATATTTAAAAAAAAAAAATTATTTTAACACTAAATTTGGATTTTGAAATGAAAATTTTTATGCACTGTCAAGCACATGCAATAGTATCACTGACATGCAAAGTAAAATTTCTCTATAGAATAAAAAGGAAAATTTCTTTGACATTCTTGGATAGGAAATTGGGTGTGAATTTAAATAATATTTTCTATGAAAAAATAATTTTTTTTTTTTAAATATAAATACCTTCTTAACAAAGTAAAAGTTTACGAAGTAACATCCGGCCTTGCCCACGTCCAGAACTTACAATGAAAATGAATCCTAAATAAAAGTACCAAGGAAAAAACTATTGGAGAAATTATTACCCAATTAAATGAAGGAAAATGCATTATTTACTGTCCAACAGTACGATTACTTTGCAGAAACCCGTGATTTGTTACCATGCAGTTAAAAAATCCGCCAGCGATCTATTATCCTGCATGGGGAAATCATGTGATACACGTGATATTATAAACTATTTTTAACTTTTAAACTTTTTTTTCCAACGAAAATCTTCCCTTTCGCTCTTTGCCTTTCATTTTCTCCCATTTCTTTCCTTCATTTTTCTCTTCATTCCTTCTCCCCTCCATTGTCTTATATCTTTTTTTAAAAAAATATTTTTTTTCTGTTAAAAAAACTCTTTTATAATTTGCTTAAAAAAAAATAAATATTTTTCTTTACGGGTTTTTTTAACGACAAATTTTTAGTTAAGTCATGATCGTGTGCACGTGACTTCATTAATTTATTACTCCTGGAACTCGAAACGTTACTTCAAGTAATTAATGTCAGATTACCATAAAGCACAGATGACTGTAATACTAATGATATATTTTCTCGGGATGATTTGTCTTTTAAAATGAATTTGGTTTTATACCGCGAACATTCGTTGTGAAAATCAGTTTTTATACTGTATAAATAATTATAGAAAAATATTTTTACAAATTTATATATACACATAAATCAGATTCACATAAAACCCATGTTGGGTACATGTAAATTTCACATAAATTCTTTCATATAATTATTAATGCGCATAAAAAAAACCTATTCACTAACTAAACCAACCCTATTTCTCATTCAGTAATTTTTGTGTATTTTAAAAAGTGAGTATGTCTTAATAAAATAAAAATTTAATGATCATAAATATTTATAAAAAGTATTCCAATTCGTCTAAAATCAATCAATAAAATTTTTGTTTTATATTGGATCTTACATAATATTATCATGTTCTTTTAAAAAAATATACTGATTCAATTAAAAAGATCATATAAAGATGATTATATCGCCGATCCAAACCCAAGAGGTGAAAGAACGAAAAAATAATATAAAAATAAAAAATCACGTTTACCGTAGGACCGCAGCATCAATCTGATCCCGATCACCAATCTAAGAGACGAAATAAATAATAACGACGAATGATAAATTTTATGTTTTGTGCGATTAACATACTCTAAAAGAATATATTTTATTTTTATTTTTATTTTTAATTTCAACGTGAACGAAGCCACGGTACAAATTACAAAGACACAATTCCTTAAAACCGCGAGTCAAACCGCCACAACGTGACGATGTCACCTTGGTTGATCGAACATAACTAACCCATGGCGGATCCTTCCGTAGGGAGGAGCCACCCGAACACTCTAAAAGAATATATGGTTTATGGTTTAGTTCATTAGTTCATATTATGCAAAACATGTGCAATATTTATTAGCACGCAGCGTAAATACTATATTTTAATGTAAATTTCCTTTTGAATCATATTATTAACGTTTCACCAATAGGGGGTAATATTATCGCGTAATTTCGACACTTAGATAACATGACATCATGAGAAAATTACATAATTTTATGGCGTATAAAAAAACCATTTATATTATGATAAATTTTTTTAAAAAAAAAAAAATTTTCGTAAAAAAAGAAAAATGGGGTTTCCAAAATACGATGGAAATATTCATCCAGATGAATGGATAAAAGATATTCAAAAATATAATAATATTTGGAAAAATAATTATGGAGGATTTTTAAATACTGCTATATCATTAATAGATCCTACCATCAAACTTCCAACTGAAATTAATGATATTGAAAATCTTCGTAATGCACTTAAAGAAGATGTCTCTTTCAAAGTATTTAAAATTACTAATAAGAGAAAATTACAATCATTAAAATATAATCCTAAAAAAGATGACAAAAATTCAAAATTTATTTTAAAATTTCGTAAATTATGTTATAACGCAGAAATTAATGATATAGAAGAACAAAAGAAATATCTTTATAAATCACTTCCAGCTGATAATAATTATACTTATTTTTTAACAGAATTTCTTAAGAGAATGGAAAATGTTAATTCAATGAATGAATTAATTAAAGAATTTGAAGAGATTATTACGGACGAAGCAAATCTGATTAAACATGAATCTACTGTAACTTTAAAACATGTTCCTACAGGAAAATATTTAACATCCGTTTTAGATTTAAATTATACGACTAGAGGCAAGAATCAATTGGTAATTACAGTACATCTTTTATCGTAATCTTCAAATAAAAGAATAATTTTTAAACATTTCTTTTTTAAACGAACAATTTAGGTTTTTGCAGGAAATTCGAATCTTGATCCAAATGCTTTGTGGAATATTAGATTTTTTAATTTAAATAATAAAAATAATAACAAGGTATTAGCTTCTTATACCGAAACTAGTAATTACTTGTTACATCATAAAGTTACTAGTAGACCACTTGGGGTTCCTTTTACAAGAGATTTCGATGGCAATAATCCACCTAGATATAATTTATCTCCATCATCAAGTAATTTAGAAGGTAATTAAATATATACTATATAGTTTCTTTTTTTAAGGTAATAAAAAGGGTAATACCAATGATTTGCTTTTTTTTTATAGTGAGTTGTAATTTACAAAATTGTTATGATGGAAACTGGGAAATTAGTCATAGTAAATTAGAAAATCATCAAGGTTATTTAAAATCAAATGATACTATTAATCTCAGCCTTAATAATTTAAATGGTTTATATAAAGGTCCAGTTAGGTTTTTACGTAGTCATGATATTCAATTCACTATTGAAAATGATACTTTTCAGGAAGTCGTCTGTCATAATGAAACAGTGGGGGAAAATGATGAATGGTGTATTGAACTTGATAAAAATTTCAATAGTTAAAGTTTTGTGATTAGGATATAAATTTGTGCGACCTTATATATATTACTATATGAGCTATTATATGTTAACAATTTGATAAAAATAAAATCGGTCCAATATTTTATAAATTTAAACGATATTTTTAAAGTAAATACTTTTTACGCCTACATATAAAGATTTTACGCTGATTTCGCTATATCATTTGTAGATTCGGCGCTGAAATTAAAGTTTTTAAACTTTTAATGTACTTTAAAAATTTTTACAATATCTAATAATACAAATAATACTGTATTTCCGAAAGAACTTTCCGGAAACTTTGTTATAATATTGAACCAAAAAAAAATCCATGTTGATATTTAATCAAATTTTATTTATATAGAGCTTGATTCGAATTTTTTATATTTAATTACCAATAAATATAATTTTATACCAAATGGATGATTATTTTGTTTCGATATCAATAATTTCATTGGTCGATCACCATGATGTATTAATGACGTTAAAAATTTATATATATATGGGGCAAACTAAAGTTTATCCATTTAAACAGTTCATTCCGTTAATTTTAATTCAAAAATTTGGTATATCGATACGTTATTTTATGGTTTATATTCGAACTAGTTTTTTTTAATCTTAGTTCCGTAAATGGCTCGTATCACATTAGTATTTTTTTTTTATAATTGTGATCTTCGGAGAAATTATTACCGAAAAGTTTCTCTCTCATTATCGATAAAAAAATGGATTTTCCAAAATATAATGGAAATGTTCATCCAGATGAATGGATAAAAGACCTTCAAAATTATTTTGGAATTTTATAAACCAATTAAGGATTCTAATTTGAAACTCACTCGTGCGAAGTTTGCTTTATCATTGGTGGATTCTAATATCTTACTTCCAACTGAAATTGATAGTATTGTTAAACTTCGTAAAGCACTTAAAGAAGATATTTCTTTTACAATATTTAAAAATACAAATAAAAGAAAACTACAATCATTAAATTATATTCCTGAAAGTATGGGTGGTGATACTTCAAAATTTATTTCAAATTTTCTCAAATTATGTTATAATGCTGAAATTAATGATATAGAAGAACAAAAGAATTAACTTTGTAAATCACTTCCAATGAATAGTTATTTTTCGAATGAATTTTATAAAAAAATGAAAAATACGAATTCAATTAATGAATCAATTTTGAAGAATCAAATTTAATTAAAATGAATCTATTGTAGCATTAAAACATGTTGCTACAGGAAAATATTTAAGTTCAGATGGTTCATATGAAAATTTACGTTATATAACTGGAAGTCCGAAACAATTGGTATTACGATTTTTTTGTGTATATTAATATTTAATGTATTGTTTCTTAGGTTTTTGTAGGGGTCCAGAACCTGATCCAAATTCTTTATGGAAAATTAAATTTGGTAATGAATTGATTACGTACGCCGATACTTCTATAAGATTTCAACACGTCAAACCTACTAGTAATAATTTTCTTGGAATAGATAGTAGATGTACCTCTCCGTCAACTAATTACACAGAAGGTATAGATTAAAAATTTATTTTTTCTTGAATCCAAAGTACTATTGTATTTATTATTATTTTAGTGAGTAGTTGTAATAATTGTTATTCTCATTGGCATACGTATTGGAATTTTAATCATAGTAAATTAGAAAATTATCAAGGATATTTAAAATCAAATGATATTATCAATATTAGCATTAAGAAATTCTATGATAGGTATTGTCGTTACATTAAAAACGGACAAGTTGAATTTCTACGTAGTCATGATATTCAATTTACTATTGGGAATAACACTTATCAAGAAGTTGTTTGTCATAATGAAAGATTAGGAGGAAACGATGAAGTGAGTAGAAATATTTATTTTTTTATCATTCAAGATTTAAAAATTAATCATCATCTTTTTTTTGTGGTGTATTGAGCTTATTAAACAACATACTGAACCATAGATACTTTGCACGATTAAATAACGGATAAAATATTGAAAGGCCGGGTAAAAAAATGTTTTTACAGAATCTTATTGTTTATTTGTCCTCAATCTAACGTTGCTACATTTTCAAATATTCCAAAGACCGGCTAAGGACCGGGCGGGTACGCAATAACATCTTATCAGTAAGGAATAGTCTCTTACCTCCATCTTTCAGGATGAGTTGCTAAATAAGAGCATAGCATTCGTATGATATCATTTCATCTTCTCCATTTGTCCTTTCTTTCTTGATTTTTGTTTCAATACAGTATATATTATATTATTATCCGATGGAAAAGAGTGAATAACATTATTTTTACTTATGGAGGGTAAATGATTGGCTGAAAATAAGCCACGAAGTGGCTTATTCAGCCAATCATTTTCCCGTAATAAGTAAAAATAATGTAATCATTTTCTATCGGATAAATTTTATATCCGAGAGGCCTCAATGATCATGTATAAATAGTTTATTAATAGTCTAACAAAGTATAATCTTATCACCTAGTTTCTTTCTTTCATTAATTAGCTTATAGAATTGATAATGTATATAAATATAATTTTATTGCGTGTATAAATAATAATGAAATAAATGTCATATAAAATACTATCGGATAACTATAAAATTTTGCTTTACATGATCCTATGGAATATCGGATATATATATATATATCGTAATGATTGAGAGATTATGGTAGATAAAAATATTTGAAAATGTTCTTTACTATATTAAACAATTTTAAACATATTTCTTTTTTAAACGATTTGTACTTGTAAAAACAAATAAATTTAACAAATTAATCTACCTAAAAAAAAAAACTATTTAATATATTTATCTAATTTAAACGTTTTTTTTGAAAATTTTCTCAATCCTCTATCATCCCCATCATTAACGCGCTTCTTTAAGTCTTTATTAACTTGATCTTTTTGAAAGTCTTGACTCAAAACCGCGTTCAAGGTGTTAAATTCATTAATTTTTTTCTCTAATAAATTTTCCCTATTTGCTTCTCATTCTTTTCGTGAAAGACCCCACTCAGCTAATTGCTCATCTGAAATTGGTAGCGTTTCTTTGCTATCGACTTCTTTGACAGCTTTATGATTCGGTTTTATTATCCGAGCCTTCTAGCTCCATACCGAGTTTGCCATTTTTTCTTCTTATGAAAATTTGCTAATACTACAATTTACCATTGATCTGAAGAAATGTACATCTTTCTTTTATATCTGCAAGTCCTAATTCGGCTGTAAACCATCTACAAAATAATTCCTCTTTTTTGTATTTTATCTCATAAGATTGCGTGACGTTCCTGTAAGTTGATAGAGGATTCTGGTCCAACAAAAAGATTTGATAAAATAGAAGAAATGAATGGGTTAAATTATCAAAATGAATCAAATGAAATAAAAATATATTTAAAAAATTATTCGAAAAAGTTACATTATTAATAATACAAGTGCGAGAAGGTTATTTACAGGTAAAGTTTATCAATTTAAAAATCTTCCTGAACCAAAAAATGCAACTGAAGGTCGGTATAATTATATTTTTATGTTTCACAATAAATGATATCCTAATACGTAACTAACTAACATTCTAAACGTATGTTTTGAAATTTATTATAGATTTTTTATAATAACAATTTTTTATTTTGTTTAAATGTAGACGGATTTTAAATTATTTAAAATAATATATTATATTTTTAGCAATATTTTAGGATTATTTCAATCACTAAGAATAGAGTACTTATTTCTTCATGTAAACATTAAAAATAGTCTTAGGATAATTTTTTTTAAATAATTTTGTTGTCAAATCAAATAGTTTATGCATTACTGTTTTTATGTCTAAACTATTTGATGTATTTTTAGTATAATAAAAAATGTTAGTAATTCGCATAATTGAATTATAACGACTATTACAGCTTTTATTGATACTGCAAATTCTAAAATATCTTACTAATTATTTATTTATTTTGAAAGAATTATCAAACAGTAACACACAAAAATCGAACAAACGAATTTGAGTAAAAAAAATCATATCGGGTCATGTATAACAATACTCAAACCAAAGACAGGTGGATGTTGAATGATTGGCTGTCAATTGTTGCTACTGCGTGGCACATGACTCGAATACAGTTATCATCGAAAATATTTTCGTTTGAAGATTTGGGACATAAATTTCTACTTAAGATAAATATTACGTTATTATTAACTTAATGATTAAAAATAAAGATAAACCAATTGATATTATACGTATAACGTGTATTTTTTAAAATAAATTGATTATAAGTCGGTACGAATTCGTTTCTGACTTTTGAGAAATCTTTTCCAAATATCCCGTGACGAAACACAGTATTTTCGACGTAGATCCACAAAAATTCTACGTAGATTCACGTAGGATATATGGGAATGTATGGAATTCCACATATTTCTGAATTAATCCATATGGAATTATGTGGACATGATGTATTATCTATATAATTAAATATTGGCTATTTATATTACATATTTTAGAAATTCAAAGATCAATGTATTAAGGTTTGATCATGCCAAATAATTATCAATTTATCCTCTTATAAATCAAAGCTAAGTTGCATATTATATATACAAATATAAGTATATAAAAATTTTTAAACGAATAATGATTATCCTCTTGTTATTCTGTTAAATAAAAAATAAAAATATCATATCTGATATAGAAAATAGTAATATACTAATATTTACCTTTTGTCCTTTCGTTACATTCAGGTAAATCTTTAAAAGACTGACAAAATTCCCAACTAAAGTTCTTAAAAAGAATTTAATTGATAATTATTTATGTGTAATGGAATTTATCTGTTCATTATTTTCATTTTGGCAATCATATATTCTTACATTTTACCAGAAAGATTACAAAATTACAAATATCAAGTCTCCTTTTTCGATCTGCATCCAACATTGTAGGAGTTCCTGGTTATTTTTGGTCCTATTTCATAATTATGTTTATTAATAAATGGTGGTTGTCCAGATGAAATTTCCCACATTAAGTATGCCAATACTATAAATATCGGATACAAAAGAAATTCCTTTTCCAGAAATAACTTCAGTGAAATATAAGGAAGTTCTCCATACATTCTTACTAAATTTAATGATTTATCAGCTGGTCCATAAAATCCAAAATCACTTAGTATACGAACAACTAATATATCATTAACAATTTATTTCTAGAATACAAATCTCTATGAATTGCATTTTCTTCCGGACGACATTTTTCAAGGAGGTTAAATCATGATAACTCATCATGATCCAATGATCATAGAAAGATGAATCAAAGCTCATTGGAATCGTCATTAAGAGAAATTGAATGGTGGTATTTCACGTCTCTAACGAAAATTTATTGGCATTTTATTTAGAGACTTTGAGAATAACTTATCTATCGATTCTAGACATGATTTCACCGCCATTCGATACGTCTCATTACGGCGACTTAAATGGGCTTTGATTCATCTTTCTATGATGAGTTAATATCCTGATTTAACCTCCTTGAAAAAGTGCTGTCCGGATACTTTGGCAGATGCCCTATAAAAAATTTTCAGAAAAATGATCACGTGTCTGAGTTTATTCGGAATGAAAACTAGAAAAATGATCATTTATCGGAGTTTTTTCCGGAATTTTTTTTATAGGGATGTGTATATAATCCTAAACTCCTAAAGTCCCTTAAAAATATGGGCATCTGACGCAAATCGTCATACTATCATTAGAAGATAATAAAATTTCATTATTGATTATGTGAATTTTACTAGGAAAATATTGGAGGGCGATCTTAACCTGTACCCGGTTAATTAACCTGGACCGGGTCTAGGTTAAGTTTCCTCAATATTAAAATGAATTGTTTACCTTTTAACGATGCATTAACCTTATTAAAAAGTTAAATTTTATAACTAGTATAATTAAAAGTTAAAGAATCTATTGAATGCATAACATTTTAATTAAAAAGTTTATATTATTTGACTTTTTAAGTTTGCTAAGTTTGCTGCAATGAATTTGTTGAAAATATGTCAATTATCGAAAATAAAATGTAATTTGATCTTTTTTATCCTTTTAAACAGTTCTCATGAAAATCATCCGTTAATTCCATTAATTCAAATTTATGGTATATCGATTAAATTTTTTTATCTTAGTTCCACAAAATTTTAAATGGCTTGTATCACATTAAAACCTTGTTTGAAAACCGGTATTTTTTTTTTTTTTTTTTTTTTAATTGTGATTTTCGGGAAATTATTACCGTAAAGTTTCTCTTCCATTATCGACAAAAAAATGGATTTTCCAAAATATAATGGAAATGCTCATCCAGATGAATGGATAAAAGACCTTCAAAATTACTTAGAATATTATAGACCAATTAAGGATTCTCTTTCTGAATACACTCGTGCGAAGTTTGCTTTATCATTGGTGGATTCTAATATCTTACTTCCAACTGAAATTGATAGTATTGTTAAAGTTCGTAATGCACTTAAAGAGGATATTTCTTTTACATTATTTAAAAATACAAATAAAAGAAAATTACAATCATTAAAATATATCCCTGAAAGTAGAGGTGGAGATACTTCAAAATTTATTTCAAATTTCCTCAAATTATGTTATAATGCTGAAATTAATGATATAGAAGAACAAAAGAATTATCTTTGTAAATCACTTCCAATGAATGAATATTTTTCAAACGAATTTTATACTAAAATGAAAAATGTAAATTCGTTAAACGAATTAATTAAAAAATTTGAAGATATTGCTGTTGAAGAGTCAAATTTAATTAAAAATTATTCTATTGTAGCCTTAAAACATGTTGGTACGGGAAAATATTTAAGTTCAACTGAAAATTTTTATTATACAACTGGAAGCAAATTTCAATTGGTATTATAATTTTTATGTATACGAATATTTAGTTATATTTTACAGAACTAACAAATAATAAATTGTTCCTTAGATTTTTGCAGGGAGTCCAGTACCTGATTCAAATTCTTTATGGAAAATTAAATTTGGTAAAGAATTAGCTACTTACAACAATACTTCGATAAGGTTACAACACGTTAAATCTAGTAATAAATTTCTTGGAATATACTATAGCATTTATGACGGTTGTTATTATAAATCTCCTTCAACTAACCACACAGAAGGTAATAAATTAAAAATTTGTTTTATATTGCTTCTTAAATCGCAGTAATATATTTATGTTTATTATTTAGTGAGTTGTAATAGTACTAGTCATATCAGTAACCATCAACAATATTGGAATGAAAATTGGAAATTTAATGATAGTAAATTAGAGAATCGCCAAGGATATTTAAAATCAAATGATATTATCAATCTTAGTATTAAGAAATCGTATGTTAGTAATAATTTAGAATTTCTACGTAGTCATGATATTCAATTTACTATTGGAAACGATACATTTCAAGAAGTTGTTTGTCATAATGAAAGATTGGGAGGAAATGATGAAGTAAGTAAATTTAATTTTTATACTTTATTTTTATTAAAATTTATAATATTTTAACTTTTATTTCTTTTTTTAGTGGTGTATTGAACTTATTAAACAACATATTTGGACCATAGATACTTAACACGATTAAATAATTTGATTTTTAATAGTTTCATATTTAAATTCTTCAACTTTAATAAATTATACTAAATTTTGAAAAGAATTAAAATTTATTGATTGTAATTTATATTTAAAATAAAATAGATCAAGTTATATTCATACAAGGATTATCTCATGTGAGGTACGTAAATAACATATGATTTGAGGTTTATAATCACAATTAAACAATTTCACGCTTATATTTTATAGGATTATAAAAACCGCTTACCAAAATGCTCACAAAATGATCATAGAAATGTTGAAATAGTGGCTTCGTTAGCTTGCGAAGAGTCCTGACCTTGAAATTATTAGTATCGTCGAAAATGATGGTTCATACTAGTCATATCGGACATGCTTCAATTGCTTCATCAACATTATTTCAAAAAAAAACCCATGAAAAGATATTCTTCTGAAATATTATTTAACAGTTTGCCCTAGAATTGCAGCAGAATGGGAAAAGAATTTAGATTTTGTATAACGAAATTTGAAGTAAATTTATTTTTGTGATTATGATATTGTTAAGTTATTAAAATAAAAATAATGAACGTAATTATTTTTAATTATTCAATTTTATAAAATACGATTATGGCGCGGAAATGGAAAAAAATTTACTGAATTTGTCAAGTAAAAAATTGAAAATTGGTAGTATTTTTTAGCTGTTAACTGTAAATTTATACGCCAACATTTGTTAATCTATAATCCTATATAAGGGCCAGGTGGCGAAAATTTTTTTTACTACGCAGAGACTTTTTATATGAGTAGTACGCATAATTGACACCTGATATTGAAAATCCTGCAAAAATACGCAAATAAAATTTCAGACATTAAGTTATTAATTATTTTATCATGGCTTCTATATCATTTATAAAACCAAATACTAATGTGAAAAAATAGAATTTATTCTAATTTACCATTTTTTCAATAATATTTTTCTATAATTTCACTTTTTAACCTTTAGAAATTTCTTTCAATTAATACTAAATATTACAATGCGGTTAACGTACAATAAATATATAAGATTATCCAAATTTAGGCCAAAAATACGCAAACTAATTTTTACATATAAAAATTTTGATAAAAAATACGCAATCTTGATGACCTAACTATGGATGAAAATTTTTTAGATTGTACGCAAATCAAAACTTTGTCTAATTTCACTATGATGGCGACGCATCTGTGTACCCTACCCCTGTATATATTTCTGGGTCCTAAATAACCTTAAAAAATACGGACGTAGTAATCGTCACCTGAGGATTACATTAAACCTTGTTTGAAAACCGGTATTTTTTTTATATTATTGTGATTTTCGGGAGAAATTATTACCGAAAAGTTTCTCTCCCATTATTGATAAAAAATGGATTTTCCAAAATATAATGGAAATGTTCATCCAGATGAATGGATAAAAGACTTTCAAAATTATTTAGAATATTTTAAAATTAGACAAACTCGTTGGGAAGATTGTGTGAAAGTTGCCTTATCATTGGTCGATTCTAATATCTCACTTCCAACTGGAATTGATAGTATTGAGAAACTTCGTAATGCACTTAAAGAAGATATTTCTTTTACAATATTTAAAAATACAAATAAAAGAAAATTACAATCATTAAAATATATTCCTGAAAGTAAAGGTGGTGATACTTCAAAATTTATTTCATATTTTCTCAAATTATGTTATAATGCTGAAATTATTGATATAGAAGAACAAAAGAATTATCTTTATAAATCACTTCCAATGAATAATTATTTTTCGAATGAATTTTATAATAAAACGAAAAATGCGAATTCAATTAATGAATTAATTAGAGAGTTCGAAGACATTGTTTTTGAAGAATCAAATTTAATTAAAAATGAATCTATCGTAGCATTAAAGCATGTTGCTACAGGAAAATATTTAAGTTCAGATGAAAATTTACGTTATACAACTGGAAGCAAATTTCAATTGGTATTATGATTTTTTATGTAACCGAATATTTAGTTAGTTATATTTTACAGAGCTAACATATATTTAATATATTGTTTCTTAGGTTTTTGTAGGAAGTCCAGTACCTGATCCAAATTCTTTATGGAAAATTAAATTTGATAAAGAATTAGCTACTTATAACAATACTTCGATAAAGTTACAACACGTCAAATCTAGTAATAAATTTCTTGGAATATACTATGGCGCTTATGAAAGATATTATGATTATTATAAATCTCCTTCAACTAACCACACAGAAGGTAATAAATTAAAATAAATATTTTATTTTATTAAACCTAAAGTAATATTTATGCTTATTATTTTAGTGAGTTGTAACAATCTTAACCATGCATATTGGTATGAGAATTGGAAATTTAATGATAGTAAATTAGAGAATCGCCAAGGATATTTAAAATCAAATGATATTAGTAATATCAGTATTGAGAAATCGTGTGGTGATAATAAAGTAGAATTTCTACGTAGTCATGATATTCAATTTACTATTGGAAACGATACATTTCAAGAAGTTGTTTGTCATGATGAAAGATTAGGAGGAAATGATGAAGTGAGTAGAAATATTTATTTTTTTATCATTCAAGATTTTAAAATTAATCCTCATCTTTTTTTTAGTGGTGTATTGAACTTATTAAACAACATATTTGGACGATAGATACTTTGCACGATTAAATAATTTTTATTATTAATTTATTTGTAATAAAATTTTACTCTAAATATTTTAATTTCGTTATAAGTTCTTATTTAATTTCTCTCATTTTTTTTTTGAAATTTTACAATGATAAATTTATTCACTTCTTTTGACATCATTAATAATTACAGTACATAGGTGATATCCATTAAACAATCATGATGCGACTTAGTCTTGAGATATGTCCTTCCAACGAAATATTCCAGAATAAGTTTAGCTTTGTATTTCTTGCACAAGTGAATAACCGGTAGTTTTGATCTCATTATGATCGTAAGAGTACGCGAAAAGTTAAGGAAGACTTGTGCTTTAGATAATTGATGTACCATATTTATAACTTCACATACTAATAAAAATTTATCGATATTAGTAATTCGTACTCAGAAAAAATACTAACTTTATTATACGCAGAATTATTAAATATAATAAATAATTTTTTTTTTTTTTGAAAAAAATATCTTTTACATAAGGTAAAATATAAATGTCTTAATTTATTCGAACAAAAGCTCTAGCACTATTTGTTTAAATCTTGGGCGTTCAGCTTAGCTTTTAAATTATTTGAGGGTCGAGTCATCAATAAACTGACCAAGGAACCATGCTTAAATTGCTTATTTTATTATGATACAATTTGTAGTGAAATTATTCTATTCCTCATAAATTCCAAAACTAATTTAATTATCTGTGTTTTCCTTCTTATTAAGTAAAAAAAAAATTCGGGTCCATACCCAATCTACAAAATGTCGTCTCGATCAGTTTTAGCAATAATAACTTTAATAATACTAACCGATCCTAAGAAATATGTAAAACAAAAATAACGAGTAGCAGGTAACAACTTGGGAGCATTTACTTAGAAGTAATTGTGTTATCTTGAAACAGTGAAACATTGTAAAATGCCCACCTAACAGTAAATTGACTCTTAATTTGATAAAGCAGCTCTGAGATGCTGCATGTTCTTTCTTGTAGGCTCTCTGGCTCGCAACACTTATCGTAAACCTAAGAGATTTACAACTAGTTTTGGAAAAGAAAATTACCTCTAAAATCCAAGGTGACATAAAGAATATCGTTGTGACAGTAACAAAGAAATTACAATGTATTTTATGCAATTACACCTACTACTTATATCCATATTTTTTCTTGCATCATGATGGATTTGCGTTTGAATTAGCGTTAGTATTTTTGCTTACTATAGCAGAATCAAAGGTAGACTCAACACAATTGTTAATTGAATAAACTCTTGCCTTTATAAAAGAAATATCATTAAGAAATATAATTAGGGAACATAGTTAGATAGAATTACATTAAATTATTTTACTTGCATATAAATGTTCACTTATCATCGACGAACATATAAATCATTCAGAACAAATTGCATGTTTTTCGTTGAATTTTTTCTCTATACTAACCAAATTAGATGTGATTATAAATTTAATATGGTAATTAAATAAACGTTTTGATATAATTACGAATTATAGTATATAAAAAATAAAAAAGCTCGTTAAAACTGTTGGCTGTGGCCAAAACATATTAATATGGTTACCTTCACAAATAAGAACGGCAGCCAAGCATTAAGTTTAAGTACTTTCTACTGATTAGTAGTCGGACGTAATAATCAAATTAAATGAAAAAAATGTGACCATGTTGTGGACAACATTATTACGTCACGTCGTTACGCCCTTGATCGATAACTTTTCACGTATAAATAAAATTAAAAAGTACTTCCACTTACAAATTATTCTTTTCTCGTCTCTATACAACTTCTTCTCGAGCACTGTGGTGTCTAGTAAAAAAAAATGCAGCCGCTTTTATTTTCATAGCACAATAACCCGGTTTGTAGCTTTCTGGAAGAGTGTGGTAAAACCTTCTCTTATAAAATTTTCAGAATTCCGATCGAGAATGACTCAGCAATTAAGAACTAGATACTGTCGGAGAATACTCATTTAGCTTACTTGAAATCACGGAGGAAAGAAAATTTATATGGAAAGTTGATTTAGTTATTTCACTTATCTGTGCTGACTGGCCCCATCACCAACTCTACTCTGTCAAATGCTCCTTGACAGATGTTCATTGACAGTGCGTTTCTGTTGGTGAGCAGGCAACCAGTTCTTTTAGGCAAGCTAGATATATATTTTTCCATTAATGGTTCTAAATATTTTATAAAGATAAGCAATAAATCATTTTGGAAATTGCATAAAATGTTTAAAAGAAATTCAAATTTCATTCTTTATAAAAATGGTTCTAAAATGGGATTGAAATATATTAAATATTCACCAGATGAATGGATAAATGATATACTGAAATATTACAGACTTATACAAATTATACTTTCTTTGGGAGATATAACATTATTATTATCTCACTTCAGTTCCTTCAAGTGAAGTTAATAGCTTGAGAGAATAATGTAGTGAAGATTTATTACTGATATTTAAAATATAGATAAAAGAAATTACGATAATTAAAATAAATTTCTGAAGTAAGTGAAAGGTGTACTTTAAATTATGTTACAATGCTGAAAATTATAAACCATTCCGATGGATAATTATTTATCAAATGGAATTTATACAAAATGAAAATGTGGATTCAATTAATTAAATAATTTGAAGATATTGTTTACTAATGAATCGAATTTGATAAAAATGAATCTATAGTACTAGCTATAAAGTAAATAAATATCTTTAAGTTCATTGAAAATTGTCAATTGGCATATTTTTCGTATCGTTATTACAATTAAAATAATTTCTTTAAATAATTTAATGAGTATTTGATACAACTCTTTACGGAAATTAAGTTTATCTAGCGCTTTACAGTGAAATTTCTTAACAACATATTAAATTCAGTAAATTTCTTTTTGTAAATATGATTTTTATTGTGATGCCGACTTTGTTTTTATTATAGAATAATGTTAAATACAAAAATTTTTAAATAAGAAATTTCTTGTAATAAATTATTTATGTATGATTTCCAAGTAGCAAAAACACAACATTACCTTTTAATTTAAGTAATTACATAAAAACTATCACTATTTAATTTTGACATTATTAATACTATCTGTAGAAATTAATACATTTGCGAAAATTAAAAATTGAATAATTAAAATAATAATTATAGATGAGAAATTAAATAAAAATTAATTTTTAATTTATAGTTATAAAGTGAACAAATCGTTAATATTTGTTGTCGACTTAGTCAAGTCTTTTAAAGATTTGTTGTCGTCTAATCACCAACGTTGAGGTGCAGCAACATTAATCAGGAGGAGAAGGGAACTGAAAGGGAAAGAGGAAAGGAGTAAGAATAAGTGAAGATATCTTTAGTTTATTAATTTCATCTGATGAGTTACTTATCAAAGAATTATTTAACCATGTTCAAGATTATTTGATCGAAAAATAAAAGAAGACCTAAAAAAAAGAAAAGAGAAGAGAGGCAGACCTATAAGCTAAGGTATTGGGGAAATACTTATATTATTTATGTTATATACTCACAACAAAACCACATTAAGATTATATGTGTTACATGTCAAGAGTAATATTTTTTGCATAAGTAATTATTCATATGACTGATATGAGTAATATATTTAACCATATCAAATTAGTAAGTGATTTATTTGCCATCGAATTTCTACAGCTACATTAGATTCCTTACATTTTATTAAAATACATTACTCAGATCTTAGTGATTTAACAAGTTAAACCTATTTCGTTTTTTGCTTTAATTATAATTCTGCCAAAATTAAATCGGCATCACTAACATTTAACTTATAATATAAGGCTGAATTTTATAATTTCATGATGAGAATTATAAATAAAATTTTACCAAAAATTTTAATGTCGTATATCGTATAGCACTGCCTAAAATACCCGGGTCTAAATCAATTTAACCGATTTAAAAAATTAAATAATACTCGTGAGTATTTTATAAAATGCTGAGTATATTAGGTGAGAGGGGATATTATATTGAGGTTATATTTTAAGAGATAATTAGTCCGGAGCGAAGCGAAGGACTATATACTATTTGTGTCGGTTTCACAAATATCCCGTTGTCCGCCCGCTCACTGTATGAGTCGATGGCCATCCATTCGTATTGGTTCTTTCGGTTACATCATGTGATAAAAATAGAACAAAAATTGTTTATTTGATATTTTTTTTTTATATATGATCTGTCTTTTTTCTTTTTTTTTTGCAAATAAAAAAATTTTTTTAGCTTTAAATTTAATATAAAAATCATTTATCATATGCAGACCGGTATGAGGACTGGTCTATATTATTTTTATTCGAATTACCTGTGTTTAATTAAGTTTAATTAAGGTTAATAATTTCGCTTTTCGCTCCGGATTCCCAACGGTTACCGTTCCCTAGTATAGATATGTATTGTGTATGATAAAATTTATTACATTGGTAACCAGTAAATACAGCACCATACATTCGTACAATATCCATAAAATATCGGTTAACCAAAAATGATTACTAATGATAAAATTCCCGGTCTATATCAATTTATCTTTATTTAAAAAATTGAATTGTACCCGGGTTTTAATCAAAAAAAAAAAGTTACGCTGAGAGGGTGACTTCTAGTCAGTGCTATACGGTAAGTAATGTTATTAATATCGAATATTATTAGAGGTTTGCCCTTTTAACGGTTCACGTAGCCTAGCGCCTTAACCATTTAACGACTGAACTCAATGAATAGTACTTCGGTATATCGATATATCGAATAACCAATTCTAGGTCAATATCGCCCAAAAAATTTAATATTCACGAATTAACTTTTTTAAGTTAGCTTCGTTCATTAATTTTTATGGTTCGTGTCACTATAAGTTGGGGAATCTTACCACACTACCCTGTCACAATATAAATAGTACTTTAAACGTGGTAGTACAGGTGACATATAATGCAGTAGTGACAAATAGAGATCAGGCTAGTAAAAAAAACTGTCCCTCATAGATGGAATAGATGGATGCATGCAACTTCTGAATTTGGTAAGATTATAATCTTGTTTGAGGATCGGTATTTTTTTGGCTAGTAGCTGCCTTAATATAAATTCTGAAATTCGGAAAATTATTACCGAAGTGCTTCTATCTATAGACCTGCACTTCTGCACCATTTTATAAAAAAAAAAGAAATGGACCTGCCAAAATATAATGGAAATATTCATCCAGATGAATGGGTTAACGATATTCAAAAATATTTGAAACTTAAAAATAATAATTATTCGATTAACGATTATTTGGAAATTGCTAAAACATTAGTAGATACTAATATATCACTTCCAACCGAAATCGATACTATTGAGAAACTTCGCAATGCACTTAAAGAAGATATTTCTTTTACAGTTTTTAAGAGTACAAATAAAAGAAAATTACAATTATTAAAATATATTCCTGAAAGTAAAGGTGGTGATACTTCAAAATTTATTTCAAATTTTCTCAAATTATGTTATAACGCTGAAATTAATGATATAGAAGAACAAAGGAATTATTTGTATAAGTCACTTCCAATGAATAATTATTTTTCGAGCGAATTTTATAAAAAAATGAAAGATGTAAATTCAGTTAATGAATTAATTAAAGAATTTGAAGATATTATTGTTAAAGAATCGAATTTGATTAAAGATGAATCTATTGTAGCTTTAAAGCATATTGCTACAGGAAAATATTTAAGTTCATTTGAAAATTTACATTATAGGACTGGAAGCAAATTTCAATTGGTATTATGATTTATTATATATATGAATATTTAGTTATATTTTACAGAATTAACATCATATAATGTTCCTTAGATTTTTGCAGGAAGTCCAGCAGTACCTGATCCAAATTCTTTATGGAAAATTAAATTTGGTAAAGAATTAGCTACTTACAACAATACTTCGATAAAGTTACAACACATCAAATCTAGTAATAAATTTCTTGGAATATACTATGGCGGTTATAAAGGTTATTATGGTTACTATAAATCTCCTTCAAATAACTACACAGAAGGTAATAAATTAAATTTTATTTTATGTTACTTTTTAAATCGCAGTAATATATTTATATTTATTATTTAGTGAGTTGTAATAGTACTAATCATATCAGTAATTCTAGTAAATATTGGAATGATAATTGGAAATTTAATGATAGTAAATTAGAAAGTCGCCAAGGATATTTAAAATCAAATGATATTATTAATATTAGCGTTAAGAAATTGTACGATGATAGAGGTGATTATACTCCAAATGGACCAGTCGAATTTTTACGTAGTCATGATATTAAATTTACTATTGGAAACGATACTTTTCAAGAAGTTGTTTGTCATAATGAAAGATTAGGAGGAAATGATGAAGTGAGTAGAAATATTTATTTAACTTCATCTTTTGTCATTTAAGATTTAAAAATTAATCCTCATCTCTTCTTAGTGGTGTATTGAGCTTATTAAACAACATATTTGGACCATAGATACTAAATAATTTTGATTATTAACTCATTTGTTAGTTATTTGTTAGTTTCGTATTCAAGTTCTTCAGTCAACTTTAATAAATTATGCTTAACTTTGAAAAGAATTAAAATTTATTCAATTGTTTGGATTGTAATTTATATTTATAAATAAAATAAATTAAGTTATATTCATACAAAGATTATCTCATGTGCCGTGAACAACATATTCTTTGAGGTCTATAATCACAATAATATATCTTATAGAATTATAAAAACCACTTACCAAAAGGCTCACTAAAACCCATAAAAGTGTTTGACTTCGTACCCTGCGAAGGGACCTGACATATCAGACATACCTTATCAACTTCTATATCAAAATACCCATGAAAAGATATTCATCCGAAATATTATTTATGTGCCTTAGAATTCTTAGAATTGCAGCAGAATGGAAAAAGAATTTAGATTTTGTATAACAAAAAATTTGAAGGAAATTTATTTTTGTGATTAGATTATGAAATATTTTAATTATGCCTATTTCAGGAATCCGATTATGGCGCAACAGTTCAAAAAAAAATTTGCTGAATTCAACAAGCGAAAATTGAAAATCGGTATTATTTTTTTTAGCTGTTAAACATTCAGAGTTTAAATTACTTTACTTGACATGAATTTTGTCGAACCTGTATAAGATCTTTAGAAGAAGCAAATATTAACAAAAAAAAAATATGAATTCAGAATTTTAAAGAATAAATCTGCTATAAAACGTTTGAATCACCTTTAATTATTTATTATCCATAAGAACAAGTTGGTTCGCAATACATTTTGTATTACGAGATGAACCCTATTTATCGTTAATTAAATATTTCAAAATCCAAATTTAAGAATTTTAAGAGTTTTCTTTTAAATGATTATTTTACTTAAATAATAATAAATAGGATTTTATTTAAAAATCGTGTATATTGTATAATTTGTATTACCGTTGATAGGATAACCACTGAACTAACTGAGAATTATTAATGGATAATAGTTATATTTATATAATAGATCATGTGACATATTCGCGTTAGTAATCTATAATTCTAAAAATTCAAAACATTCAGGTTCATAGAATCATAGTATTGTGAACATCACTATCACTTTAAAAATACAGTACAAATCGTCACCTACTATCATCAGAAATAGTAAATTAAATTTTAAATCTAAGGTAATAATATACTATGGTTATTGGATGAGGTAAAAATATCAGTCACACCTTAGGGGTGACTGGTATGTTACCCCTCCATTCAATGATTGTTTTTATTATTTTAGTTGCAATATGCTAGAAATCGTTCTTATCGGAATGAAAGTAATTTAATCATAACAATAAATTAGAAATCATCAAGAATATTTAAAGTCAAATTATCTTAGCATTAATAAAAAAATTGTTAATAAGGTTTATCTTCAAATAGTCAAATCAATTTTATTTAGTCATGACGTTAAATTTATTTAATGGAAAAATACTTTTCAAGAAATTGTTTGTTATAATGAAATAATAGGAGAAATTAAATTTATTTGACCTCATTTCTTATCGCTTAAGAATTAAGATTAGTAATTCTTTTTTTTTTTACCATAGATACTTTAAATCAACTAATTCGTTGCTCTATCATTTTTCTAGTTTATTCCGAAGAAACTCAGACACGTGATCAAAATTTTTTATAGGGTTGGTTATTTGTATTATTTTTCGGATTACATCCCATTATGGTCATTTATATATCCCACATACAGTATATCTAGTATTGATAATTTTGAACAATTTTATGTCCATTTAAAATATCTTCCTTTTTAAATTTAGGGTTACGGTCTCTTGCTGTTGTTGGTTCGTCATGACGGGCCGGTTACGCCTAATGGTCCCTTGAGGAATAAAAGGCGGGACGACTCGTTACTTTGTAACGCTAACGGGTTAGGTAGTTACTTCTAGATGTAGTATAGTCTATCTTTTAATTAGTATAGCGTCTGCTTGTTTTGTATCTCCTCAGTACTCGTCTATATAATAAAAATAAAAATAAAATAAAATTTTTCAGATTACAATATTTGCGGAAATACCTTTTTGTCTTCATGAAGTGTAAAGAGACGGCGAAAAACTCAACATTCTAATTAAAAATTTTTCTTTATTGCTAGATGGCCGGAGCTCAAACGACTGGTCACGTGTTATTTTCATTTCTGACAAATGACTCATTTAAAAATTACATCATGATGTTTCAATAAAATTGTAATTCCGGCCGGCATCATAAATTTGGCCTGAATTAATTTTAAATGACTCAAACCTAGAGATGTGCCATGCGCATTATGTGTTGCTATTATGCATTGCGCATAATGCGCATTATGCGCATGATAAATTTTGTAATAAATTATAAGTTGTAATTCTGGTAAACTTTACACCCTAACTCCGGCCAAAATTATAAATTAACAAAAATGGAATTTATAATAAATTTGTATTACATTAGATCTTTCACAAAAAAAAAATTTTTTCTTCGTTCAATCAGTTCAAAAATGCCTCCAACTAGCCCTATTTGGGCTCACTTTAATAAACTTGGACATGTGGCTGGTTTTCGGCAAGCCCGTGCACAATGCAAATACTGTAATCATGAACTAAATGCTGCTGCTAACAAATGTATTGCACATTTAAAAACCTGTTCAAGTGCAAGTATAACAGTTCTCCAAGGATTTTTTGGGCCAGATTTTAAACTTAGTGCAAAACAACGTATTAATTCCCATTTACCAACAGAGCAAAATAATATTGTTACTATTAAGAAACAACCGCAAAAATCAATAAATAATTTTGTTGACAAAATAACTTCAGCAGAACAAAATGAAGCTGAACTATTATTTGCACAAGCAGTTTACCGATGTGGATTATTCTTATCATTATCTGAACTAGAACCAATTAAAATTCTTTTTCAAAAACTTCGTCCTTGTTTTAAATTGCCCTCACGAAAAGCTTTATCAACAACATTACTTGACACGGTATATGAGGATACAAAAGATGAAATAAATAATTTGATTAAATCAACTGATTATATTTGTTTGATTTCTGATGGATGGTAGGTGATATATTTTTTTTAACTATTATTTATATATTCATTATAAATATCTTGTATAAATATTTTTAGGTCAAATATGTTGCAAGAACATTGGACAAATTATTTAATTACCACGCCAAGACCAGTATTTTTCTCTGCTCATCAAACTGGTGAAATCAAACAAACAGGAGAAAATATTGCAGCCGACATTGATAAAGTTATATCACAGATTGATCATTCCAAACTTTCAGCAATTATTACTGATAACGCATCTTCAATGAAGAAAGCATGGAAACTTTTGGCTATTAAATATCCAAACATAGTTTTCCTTGGCTGTGTAGCTCATTCCTTAAATCTTCTAATTGGTGATATTATGAAACTCCCTTGGGCGGATAGTACTATAAAAAATGGAAAGAAAATCGTTAAATATTTCAAATCACATCAAATTCCAGCTGCAGTTCTGAAACGATATCAAAGATCCAGTTATGATAAGCAAATTTCACTTAAATTACCTGTAAAAACACGTTGGGGATCATCAGCTATTTGCCTTAATTCACTTCAAGTAAATCAGCTTGCTATTGAATTAACGGTAACAGAATTATCACGTAATCAAACTGTTAGAATTGATGATGATATGAGAAGTATTGTATTAAATGATGGGTTTTGGAAAGATGTTGATAATTTACTCAAAGTTCTCAACGAACTTGTTATTGGAATTTCTATGTTTGAATCGGATACACCTTTTTTATCTAAAGTATTAGATTGGTATTACAATCAATTAGAATCATCAGGTAAAATATCATTTTTTTCTTTGGTAAATATAATCTAAATTATTACTAATCAAATTTAATTTCTCAAGTTTATGTTTTTGATATAAACGGAAATAATACGAGTATTAAAAATATTATCAAAAAAAGGTGGGAAAGTATTTACCACCCTGTTATGGAAGTTGCGCATCTGCTTGATCCATCATTCCATGGTTGCCATCTTACTTCTAATTCAATGGATAGAATTTCGCAGTTTATCCAAAAATATTATTCGGATAATGCAGTAATTATTTGGACACAAATCTTGAATTATAGGAGAAAAACTGGAGTTTTTGCGAATAAACTTGCTTGGGAAACTTCTGATAATGTTGATCCTATAACTTGGTGGAGTGGAAATTTTAGTGATTCTGCACCTGAACTTACTCAAGTAGCAAAAAAGGTTTTATCTATTCCAACATCATCTGCTGCGTCTGAAAGAAATTGGTCAGCATTTGCATACATTCATGATAAAAAACGAAACCGGTTGAGAGCTGATCGTGTCTTTAAATTAGTGTATATTTATAGCAATTATAGATTACAAATGCCACGAGAAACGCCAGAATGGAAAGGGTTTACAAACGGGTTTGATAAAAATACTTCGTTAGACGGGGGAGTTGTAGATGACGAAATTCAAAGTTCAGGCGAAAATGAAGAAAGTGATTATGATGATGTAAATAGTAGTAGTGAAAACGAAGAGAGTTTTAATGATAATGAAGCTGATGACTCTGATGTATCTTGTTAATAATTCAGTAAAATAAATAATAAAAAATTTTATTTTTTTGTAAAGAAATCGTATTTTTTTTTTTTTTCTGTATAACAGTACTATGTGTATCATGTGCATGATGCGCATGATGCGCATCATGCGCATCATGCGCGTGATAAAATGAAATTTCCGCATTTTGCCCATCCCTACTCAAACCTGACATTATTCGAACGTCATTCAGGGTCATTTGCCATGGACTTTATGGAGATATGGAGATCAAAATCAATTTTGGTCTAGTAGATGTTACGTAATTGTGATGTACATTTTCTGAATTTGGTAAGTGGCGATGCCAAAACGATATAACTTGAACTTCGGGGAAAATTAAAGCCGGTAGACTCTCCACTTTCACACTGTTGTAAAAAAAATATGGATTTTCCTAAATATGATGGAAATATTCATCCAGATGAATGGATACACGATATTCAGAAATATAATTACATGTGGTACAAAAATTGTGGAGGGTTTTTAGAAACTGCTATATCATTAGTAGATCCCATTATCAAACTCCCTGATGATATTTGTGATATTGAAGAACTTCGTAGTTTATTAAAAGAAAATATTACTTTTACAGTATTTAAGAATACAAACAAAAAAAAATTACAATCATTGAAATATATTCCTGAAAATAGAGGTGGTGATACTTCAAAATTTATTTCAAATTTTCTCAAATTATGTTATAATGCTGAAATTAATGATATAGAAGAACAAAAGAATTATCTTTACAAATCACTTCCGATGAATAATTACTTTTCGAGCGAATTTTATAAAAAAACGAAAAATGTAAATTCAGTTAATGAATTAATTAAAGAATTTGAAGAGATTACTGTTACAGAATCGAATTTGATTAAAGATGAATCTATTATAGCTTTAAAGCATATTGCTACAGGAAAATATTTAAGTTCAACTGAAAATTTACATTATACAACTGGAAGCAAATTTCAATTGGTATTATGATTTTTTATATATCCGAATATTTAGTTATATTTTACGGAACTAATATCATATAATGTTCCTTAGATTTTTGCAGGAAGCCCAGTACCTGATCCAAATTCTTTATGGAAAATTGAATTTGGTAAAGAATTAGCTACTTACAACAATACTTTTATAAAGTTACAACACGTCAAATCTAGTAATAAATTTCTTGGAATATATTATTATGATTATTTTAGATCTCCATCAAATAACCATACTGAAGGTAACAAATTAAAATACGTTTGCTCATTTTGTTTATTAAACCTAAAGTAATGTTTATACTTATTTTTTTAGTGAGTTGTAATGATATAAATTATGTTAGTAACCGTAATTATTGGGTCGAGAATTGGAAATTTAATCATGGTAAATTGGAAAATCATCAAGGATATTTAGAATCAAATGATATTATTAACCTTAGTATTGAGAAATACTATAATAATAATAAAGTTGAATTTTTACGTAGTCATGATATTCAATTTACTATTGGGAATGATACCTTTCAAGAAGTTGTTTGTCATAATGAAAGATTAGGAGGAAATGATGAAGTGAGTAGATTTATTTTATTTAACCTCATTTTTTATCATTTACTGAGATTTATCAATTAATCCTCATCTTTTTTTTAGTGGTGCATTGAGCTTATTAAACAACATGTTTGGACTATAGACGATTAAATAATTTTGATTATTAATTCATTTATTAGTTATTTGTTAGTTTCATATTCAAGTTCTTCAACTCCTATAAATTATGCTAAACTTAAAATTTATTCAATTGGTTGGATAGTAATTTGTATTTAAAAATAAATCAAGTTATATTCATACAAAGATTATTTAATGTGAGGTAAATACTAACATATGATTTGAGTTTATAATCACAATAAAACAATTTCACGCTTATATTTTACAGAATTATAAAACCACTTACCAAAAAGCTCACTATGACCCATAAAATTGTTGAATAGTGACTTCGTTAGCCTGCGTAGAGTCCTGGTCTTGAGAATTATTAGTGTAAACGAAAATGATGGTTAATAGTTATCAGACATAGTACCTCATCAAACATCTATATCAAAATACCCGTGAAAAGATATTCTGAAATATATTTAATAGTGTGCCTTGGAATTGCAACAGAATCATGGTAAAAGAGTTTAGATTTTGATAAGGCGATACAACATTAAAAAATTGACTCTCATAACCGCTGACCTAGTTTTAAGAAAATTCAGTTTACAGAAAAAATTTTGTTAATATTAATAATTAGCAGGTTATTTAAAGAAAAAAAAAAAGTTAAAAATTTTTTTAAAATTTGGGACTACCATTTTTACCTTACAAATATACAAAATTTTTAAATAAAAATACCGACCGCCGACTTCAAAATTTTAAATCCATGAAACGAGAACCAATTATTTAACATTGTGTCGCCTAATGGAAAAAATTTGATGGAAATTTATTTTTATGATTATAGCATCCCTATAAAAAATTTTATCCGTTATTTCTGTAAACATTCACGGAAAATGTAAATGATTCGATAAATTCCGTGATATAAGGTTATTAATTCCGTAGATATAGTAAGCCTTTTACGGAAAAAAAGACGGAATATAAAAAACAGATCGACTTTTTTTACAGGGTATGGGTTAGAGAAATAATGAACTTGAATTATTTTAATTATGCCAACTTCAGAAATTCAGAAATACGATTATGACGCAACAGTTCAAAAAAAATTTGCTGAATTTAATAAGCGTAAAATTGAAAATCGGTATTATTTTTTTTTTAGCTGTTCAATATAAATTTATACACTACATTTGTTAATTTTTATATTCCAAAAAATTCAAACCATTCAGATTCATAGTATTGTGAACATAACTTTAAAAAATAGTACGATTGACATCTGACGCAAATCGTCGATATATCTATTTACTATCATTAGAAAATAATAAATTAAAAATTTATTCTGATTATTAAATCTAAGGTAATAATATACTATTGGATGAGGTAAAAATATCGGTCACCACCTCTACGGAGTGACTGATATATTACTCCCATCCGATAATTGTTTTTATTATTTTAGTTGCAATATGCTAGACATCGTATGAAAGTAATTTAATCATAATAATAAATTAGAAATCATCAAAGTCGAATTATATTAGCATTGAAAAGGGAATGGCCAGAAATGACGTCATTTCTGGCCATTTCCTAATATAAAGGTTTATCTCCAAGTAGTCAAATTAATTTTACTAATGGAAATAATACATTTCAAGAAATTGTTTGTCATAAATGAAGTAACAGGTTCTCATCTCTTATCACTTAAGAATTAAAATTAATAATTCTTTTTTTTGACTGTATACTTTATAAGGCAACTAATTAGTTGGTTGTTTATTAATTATTATTTTTCAGATTACAATAATACACTTTTTTTCTTCATGATGTGTGTAAAGAGACGGCGAAAACTTAACACTTTAATTAAAAAATTTTTCTTTATTGCTATCAAAGTTACTTTATGGCGATCAAAATCAATTTTGGTCTAGTAGAGATTGGATGTTATGTAATTGTGATAATACATTTTCTGAATTTGGTAAGTGGCGATGCCAAAACATATAACTTGAACTTCGGGGAAATTAAAGCCGGTAGACTCTCTCCACTTTCACGCTATTGTAAAAAAAATATGGATATTTCAAAATATAATGGAAATATTCATCCGGATGAATGGATACTTGATATTCAGAAATATAGTTACATGTGGGAAAAAAATTATGGAGGGTTTTTAAATACTGCTATATCATTAGTTGATCCCACTATTAAACTCCCAACTGAAATTCGTGATATTGAAGAACTTCGTAATGCATTAAAAGAAAATATTTCTTTTACAGTATTTAAGAATACAAACAAAAGAAAATTACAATCATTAAAATATATTCCTGAAAGTAGAGGCGGTGACACTTCAAAATTTATTTCAAATTTTCTTAAATTATGTTATAACGCTGAAATTAATGACATAGAAGAACAAAAGAATTATCTTTATAAATCGCTTCCAACGAGTAATTATTTTGCAATCGAATTTTATAAAAAAATGAAAAATGTAAATTCAATTAATGAATTAATTAAAGAATTTGAAGATATTATTGCTGAAGAATCAAATTTAATTAAAAATGATTCTGTTGTAGCTTTAAAACATGTTGCTACAGGAAAATATTTAAATTCAGCTGAAACTTTATGTTACACAACTGGAAGTCGTACTCAATTGGTATTATAGTTTTTTGTATATGCGAATATTTAGTTATAATTTACAGAACTAACATATATAATATTTTGTTTCTTAGGTTTTTGCAGGAAGTCCAGTACCTGGTTCAAATTCTTTATGGAAAATTAAATTTGGTGAAGAATTAGCTACCAACAATACTTCGATAAAATTACAACACATCAAATCTAGTAATAAATTTCTCGGAACAAATTATGATTATAATTGTTGGAGAAAATCTCCATCAAATAATCATACAGAAGGTAAAAAATAAAATATTTGAGTTTATTTTTTTCATTAACCCTAAAGTAATATTTATATTTATTATTTCAGTTAGTTGTAATAATATCAGTAATTTTAGTATTAGTTGCTATTGGTATGAAAATTGGAAATTTAATTATAGTAAATTAGAAAATCACCAAGGATATTTAAAATCAAATGATATTATTAACCTTAGTATTGAGAAATCGCATGTTAATAATAGAGTTGAATTTCTACGTAGTCATGATATTCAATTTACTATTGGAAATGATACCTTTCAAGAAGTTGTTTGTCATAATGAAAGATTAGGAGGAAATGATGAAGTAAGTAAATTGATTGTTATTTAACCTCATTTCTTATCATTTAAGATTTAATAATTAATCCTTTTTTTTAGTGGCGTATTGAACTTATTAAACAACATATTTGGACCATAGATACTTTACATTATTAAATAAATTTTGATTATTACCGTAATTCATTGGTTGGGTATATTTTTAGTTATATTAGAATATGTTTTATCTTCGAATTCTTCAGCTTGTAATAAATTATGGAGATCTTCGTTAAAATTTGTATTTACGCAAAGTTATTTCGCAGAAGCGATCAAACAAACTTATACGATCACTTTTAATGAAACATATTTAACTTAATATATTTCTAATTGCTAGGCGCGGCAAAAATTGGCAAGCGAAAGGTTGAAAACCGTATTATTTTTTATGCTGCTCAATATAAATTCGAAATTAAACCCGAGTGTAATTTTATGTTCTCTTTAAAATTTTTATACTATAAAATTTCATTCTTGATATATAAAGAAAGAAGATTTACAGTACGAAGCTAATGCGGCTTTGGAGGATATAATATTTTTAGTGGATTCTACTATTTATTTCAGTTCCAACCGAAATTAATAATAGTTTGAGAAACTAGATATTTTTATTTACGATATTTAAAAAATACCGAATCATTAAAATATAAATATATTCACGAAAGTAATAGTGTTACTTCAAATTATGTTACAATCCTGGGATTGTAAAGCACTTCCGATGAATGGTTATGTATTAAATGAAATTTATAAAAAATAAAAAATGAGAATTACAAATATTCGGTTCAGTTAAAATTTATGTTATATAACTGGAAGTAGATATAACAATATAAAAAAAAAATTTTTTTAAATAATTTAGGCTTTGTAGGAAGTCCAGTATTAGTTCCAAATTTTTTACGAAAATTAAATTGGTAAAAAATTACTTCCCACTTACGGTGAAACTTTATAATAATCAAATCCGATGATTTCTTAGAAAATATTTTTGGTAAATATTTTTTTTTACATACATTGAAGTAAACGAGCTGAATTTATAAATTGCCATATTAAAAAGTAAAGACAAATAAATTTTGCTAAAAAGTTTAAAAAATACCCATTATTTTTATTTTATTTTATTTTTAAAGATCACTTAATTGGAGCAAAGAAATTTTTTTTTAATTTATAATTATTCACGAATTAAAGTTTTAATAGTTAGTTTCGTCCATCAATTTTTAAACGGTTCGTAACACAATAAGCTTATAATGTTAAAAAATGTGATAAACGCATGCAACTTCTGAATTTGTCAAGATCAAAATCTTGTTTGGTGAATCGGTATTTTTTTGGCTAGCTGGTTTAAAATATAAATATTGAATTTCGGGAAAATTATTACCGAAGTGCTTCTACCCACAAACTGCCATTTTATAAAAAAAAAAAATGGATATTCCAAAATATAATGGAAATATACATCCAGATGAATGGATAAATGATATTCAAAAATTTCGCTACATTTGGAAACTTGATTATAAAGAATTTTTAAAAATTGCTATATCATTAGTTGATCCCACTATCAAACTCCCAGCTGAAATTAGTAATATTGAAGAACTTCGCAATGCATTAAAAGATAATATTTCTTTTGCGGTGTTTAAGAATACAAATAAAAGAAAATTGCAATTATTAAAATATATCCCTGAAAGTAGAGGTGGTGATACTTCAAAATTTATTTCAAATTTTCTCAAATTATGTTATAATGCTGAAATTAATGATATAGAACAACAAAAGAATTATCTTTGCGAATCACTTCCAATGAGGAGTTTTTTTTCAAACGAATTTTATAAAAAAATGAAAAATGTGAATTCAATTAATGAATTAATTAAAGAATTTGAAGATATTGTTGTTGAAGAATCGAATTTGATTAAAGATGAATCTATTGTAGCTTTAAAGCATATTGCTACAGGAAAATATTTAAGTTCAGCTGAAAATTTAAATTATACAACTGGAAGTTGTACTCAATTGGTATTATAATAGTTTTTTGTATATGCGAATATTTAGTTATAATTTATAGAACTAACATATATATAATATTTTATTTCTTAGGTTTTTGCAGGAAGTCCAGTACCTGATTCAAATTCTTTATGGAAAATTAAATTTGGTAAAGAATTAGCTGCTTACAACAATACTTCGATAAAGTTACAACACGTCAAATCTAGTAATAAATTTCTTGGAATATACTATGACGGTTATAACCGTTGTTGTTATTGTAAATCTCCTTCAACTAACCACACAGAAGGTAACAAATTAAAATATGTTTACCCATTTTGTTTATTAAACCTAAAGTAATATTTATACTTATTATTTTAGTGAGTTGTAACAATCTTAACCATGGATATTGTAGTGATAATTGGAAATTTAATCATTGTAAATTAGAAAATCATCAAGGATATTTAAAATCAAATGATATTATTAATATTAGCGTTAAGAAATTGTACGATAATGGAGGTAATTATACTCCAAATGGACCAGTCGAATTTTTACGTAGTCATGATATTCAATTTACTATTGGAAACGATACTTTTCAAGAAGTTGTTTGTCATAATGAAAGATTGGGAGGAAATGATGAAGTAAGTAAATTTTATTTTTACTTTATTTTTATTAAAATTTATAATATTTTAACTTTTATTTCTTTTTTTTAGTGGTGTATTGAGCTTATAAAACAATATGTTTGGACCATAGATGTTTTAACTGATTGAATAATTTGATTATCAATTTATTTGGTTGGTTGTTTGTTAGTTGTAACTTGTATAGTATCATTTATTCAATTAAAATAAGCTTTTAACCTTTAATTTGTTTAAATATTATATTTGTTCAATGTTATTTATGTTATAATAAAATTGCGAAAATAATCTCACAATATTGAATTTCTTCGGTACGTGAAATAATTTTTATAAGTTATTAACCAGATACGAAAATGGCGTAGTTGTTTTGCAAGAAAGCATAAAATTTTGAATCTTCAAAAATTTGATAAAATAAAATACGATTAGAATATTCACAAGATAAGTGATCTACGAAAATATTACAAATTTATGCGAAATTGTATTTTCTTTGTTGGATGTAATATTATTAGTGAATTCTACTATCTTAATCGGGAAAAAAAAAAATTTCTATTATTTATTACCACGAATAATTTTTTTTATCTAAAGTTCTTTCGTATCACATGATAGATGCGAGATGAAAATCTTTGTGTGAGAATCGGTATTTTTTTGGCTAGCTATTTCAAAAAATATAAAAAATATCGTATTTCGGAAAATCATTACCCAAAGTGTTTCTATCTACTTTGTACCACTTTTTTTTTTTTTTTTTTTTTTTTAAAAAAAAATATTCATCCAGACGAATGGATTAACGATATTCAAAAATATTTGAGACTTATAAATAAAGATTATACGAGCGATGATCATTTGGAAATTGCTATATCATTAGTAAGCACTACTATATCACTTCCAACTGGTATTGATAATCTTGAGAAACTTCGTAATGCACTTAGAGAAGATATTTTTTTTACGATTTTTAAAAATACCAATAAAAGAAAATTACAATCATTAAAATATATTCCTGAAAGTAGAGGCGGTGATACTTCTAAATTTATTTCAGATTTTCTCAAATTATGTTATAACGCTGAAATTAATGATATAGAAGAACAAAAAAATTATCTTTATAAATCACTTCCAATGAAACATTTCGATTCTATTTCAAATGAATTTTATGAGAAAATGAAAAATGTAACTTCACTTAACGAATTAGTTAAAGAATTCGAAGATTTTGTTGTTTATGAATCAAATTTAATTACAAACGATTCTATTGTAGCTTTAAAACATGTTGCTACAGGAAAATATTTAAATTCAGTTGAAGATTTACATTATAGGACTGGAAGCGGACACCAAACGGTATTATAATTTTGTGTATTCTGAATTTCTGATATTTTACTAATAGTATTAATATATTTTTTTTTTTAGGTTTTTGTAGGAAGTCTAGAACCTGGTTTAAATTCTTTATGGAAAATTAAATTTGATAAAGAATTAGCTACTTACGCCAGTACTTCTATAAAATTACAACACGTCAAATCAAAAAATAAATTTCTTGGAACATATTCTGGATACAAATCTCCGTCAAGTAATCATACAGAAGGTAATAAATTAAAATTTATTTTATGTTGCTTCTTAAATCGCAGTAATATATGTAATATATTTATATTTATTATTTTAGTGAGTTGTAATAATATCAGTTACGATAGCACTCGTGTTCATTGGGTCGAGAATTGGAAATTTAATCACAATAAATTTGAAAATCATCAAGGTTATTTAAAGTCAAATGATATTATTCATCTTAGCATTAAAAAAACAACCAATGATAGGGGTCATTATACTCAACACAGTCAAGTTGAATTCTTATATAGTCATGATGTTCGATTTACTATTGGTGATGATAATTTTCAAGAAGTTTTTTGTCATAATGAAAGTTTAGGAGGAAATGATGAAGTAAGTAAATAAATTTTATTTGATTTAATTTCTCATCATTTAGAATTTTATAAATAATATTGTCTTTTGATCTTTTAGTGGTGTATTGAGCTTATAAAACAATACATTTGGACCATAGATGATTAAACTAATTAATTGGTTTTTCATCAGTTGTTATTTATATATTTATATTATTGTTAAATTACTAATACAATAGCGTATATTTTTGTTTAAGAATCAATTACATATTTTTTTTGAATCATTCAATAAAAAAAGAACAAACTTTTTACCTTTTAATTGATTGAAAATGTGTAAAGTTTTGTTATTAATTAAATAGAAAAATCTAACATTTTAACATTTATTATTACTATTGGTAGCGCAGAAAATTCAAGAATTTTATATGAAAGATTTCCTTTTAACGTTTTATCTATTCTGTTAGTAGTTTCTTAGAATTTAGGGGGAGGTTTGCATGTCGCTTGGACTTAATATATGAAAATTAGTTTTTCATCTTTTCATATTGCTTTGCTGATTATTTATAAAATCGATTCACTGTCACGTTTAGATTCTATATATTAAATAGTACGATATTCTTTCATCAAATATTAATTTATGTAATAGTGCCAATTTGCCATATATAATAATTGCCCGTTGCTTCACAACGGGAGACGGGTTGTGGTAAATCCACTTGCCGAATTAAGCGGTGTTCCGGGAAAATTAAAGCCATAAGTACAATACATTATAATATAGTAACGTTAGTTAATTTGCATTAACTTATATTGGATAAATTAAGACCTGATACTGCGCTGCCGTATTTTAAAATTATTAAAATTTATAAAATTTATATAATTTTTTTTTTAAAAAAAAACTTTGGGATTTTGGCCGTCAAGAATTTTAACTGTCAGGATTTGTGTCTATCGGTTGGGTTTATCGGGATTTTGGTGTTGGAATTGTAGACTGTCGATATTATGGTTGTCGGTAAAACCAAACCCGCATTGTAGTATAGTACATCTTTTATTGTAAACTTTAAAAGAATAACAATTTAAGTTTTTGTGGATCATTAGATTTTTAATCTAAATAAAGGAATTAGCTTCTTACACCGAAATTTGCTATTACACGTACTGGTAAACCACTTAAGATTTCTTATACAAGAGATTTCGCACCTAGTTATAATTTATCTCCATCATCAAGTAATATAGAAGGTAACTAAACATTTACTATGATATTAACCTTTTTATTACCTTAAAATGAAATTATTGGTTTATTTTTTTATAGTGATTTGTATTTGCAAAATTTTTATGTTGGAAGCTGGGAAATTAATCGTAGTAAATTAGAAAATCATCAAATTAATCTTAGCGTTAATAATTTAAATGGTCTATATCTTTAGTAGGTTAGGTTAGATTTTTACGTAGTCGTGATATTCAAAAACGATACTTTATGTCATTTATATAAACGAATTCGAATTAAGAAGCAACAAAAATATCAAACTATAATAAGAGTGGATATTAATTTACTGAGTTTTCATGATGATAATTTTAAGATTTGATGGTGAGTTAAATCTTAAAGGAATAAAGGAGAAATGCAAGTGGAAAGCGTACAAAATTATCAAAACGATGTACATAAAAATGGATATCAATTTGAGTTAAGCAACTTGTATTTTTGGCGAGCTTTAAAGGATGAAGAGTAATTAAGAAAATGTAGAGAGGTCTATAAAGATACCAGAAGGACAGGAAAACAGCTGGATTGTTCATACTGGAAAGGGATTTTACATACACATGTTACAAATCGTTTAAAAGATGGAACGAAGTTGCAAGATCAAACTTCCACGAATGATAAGACAGCTGATATGAATAATAGTAAAGCGGAAAAGGAAGAGAAGACAGAACCGATTTTAACTGAATGTTATCCCCAGAAGATGTAGTCATAGATACTATTGACAGATTCAGATAGAATTTGCTGGACGAGAGATCACCAGAACGACTGAGTATTGACTTCAATGACTCTATCCAAAGTAGTAAAGAAGAATGGGTGAGTATATGAAGCTGAATTAGAGAATGAATACGGGAAAATTGATGATCAGTAGAAATTGGTAAAACTGGTATTTATAAATATTTGCTTTTTTACCGTACAACGATTTCGCTGCGCGCTGAGGAGCAAATACTAGTGAATAATGAATCCATATTATTCTTTGGGTCTGTTAAATGTTAATGTACTAATCATTGCACGATACGATGCAAAATTTGCAAGAGAGTTGTTTTTAAAGCGTGTTGAAAAAAACTTTTATTCTTTTTTTTTTAATTGTGGAAAAAAGAGATTTTGTTTCAGTAGTTATAGTTGACTACCGTCTTCGTACTTCGTAGTAGACACCATTCTTGTTGGCAACATGGTTAAGTAATTAGGATATAAATTCAATACATCACAAATCTCGTGCCATTTGCCGGAACCCGAATCTTGCTTTTAACAAAAACATCATTTTTTTCTATCAAATCTTATTTACATAGCCGATTAATTGGACGTAGTAATCATACACTGTATTACTAGTGTATTTAATTTATGTATATACAGTAATAATGATTATGATATACTCAATAAAATCGGTGGCTTGTGTTAGTAAATGAAGACAAACATGACTCATCCAATTCATCCAATATAATCATGAGTCATTCTTATGTTGAAATTGTATTAACCGTGCGTATTGTATGTCTTTTTTGCTTTAATATTGTTGAACAATCATTACAAATTTATACTTTTTATGATTCATATACAGTACAAAGATTGTACAAAAAAAAAAAATTTTTTTTTTTTAATATACATCTCTCCTCCATCATTCCTATTCCTCCATCCTTCGGGAAAAAGGTAACTCACCTATATACTTTTTTTTCACGCGCAAATAATACTTATTTTTTCATATCATGCAAATACTAATAAATACTTTTTTTTTCATGCAAATATAAATATCCAGGTATTATCAAATATCTCAAAACCGTTTCTGTAATAACGTCTGATATCTCCCAAATTCAACTGTTGCGAAATAATATCATTTCACTGGTATTTATTTCTTTATTTTAGTTTTCTCTTTTTGCTTTTTCTTTTCTTTCTTTTCTCCATTACTAATTTATTCTTTTTTATTTTATTTACTCATTTTTTTATATTTATTTTTTTTTTCCTACTTTTTGGATATTACGTCAACCATATTAGAGGATCTAGTGCTGGTAGGTATTCCTTTATGATGTAAGAAGTGTCTAGTAGGTGCATTCAAGTGGTGTATCGATTTGAGTTTCCAGTTGATCCCTGGTTTGTGCTTATAATGATGACATGCCTACTTAGCTTTTTGGTACATAGGTAGCCGCCACCTTT